ATAAAATATTTTTTTTAAAAAGTCAACTGTTTATAGTATACAGTTACAAAGCAAGTTTCAATAAAGATCCAGAAATTAATGTACAAATTCTATTCTCTGAACATAATAAAATTAGAAGTCAGTAACCAAAAGATAATCATTACCACCTGTATATTTGTTTTGTTTTGTTTTTTACCACCTGTATATTTGGAAATTAAACCAAATATACTTCTAAGTAATTTGTGGCTCAAAAAAGAAATCATAATAAAAGTTACATAGTATTTAGAAATGGATACATTAAAAATACAATATAAACTTGAAAAACACATCCAGAGCATCACTCAGGGGGCTATTTGTAGCCTGAATGCATATTTTAATCAGCTACCCATCCAACTGTAGATATTTTTTAAATATAGCAGTTTAACAAGACAGAACAATAAAACTGAGAGCAAAAATTAAATAGAAATTGAAAAGCAAAAATATATTTATTGATAACTGAGTAGTTGCTTATGTACTAAGGGAAGAATATATTTTAAGTTGTAAAAGAAAAAGAAGAGAAAATACTGCATTGCTCCTGGCTCAGAAAAATGTTACTGTATAATAAAAATGGTAGCATTCCCTAAATTAATATATAGATTGAATGTAGCCTCCATTGACATCCTTAGGAAAATGTGTCTTTAGAATTGAAGTCTGGTTATTCTGACTTACTTGAAAATATTGCAAATTGTAAACATTACATCATGGAGTCAAATGGGGAAAAAAAACCCAAAGGACAAAATAGAGGCTTCAAATATATAATCTGTTATAGGACTTGGAGGTATAAGTTACAAACCAAGAATAACTTAAAAGTGAAAAGAATCACCTTTCATGAATTTTGGTAGGGCATTGAGGAAAATGGACATATATTTTTATCCCAGCTGTGGATAAGAAATCAATTTAGGACTATTTACGAAAACAGTATTCTCAGAGATTAGTTAGGTTTGTGACCATAATGGCTATTCTCCTGAGATGCGTCAGTTTAAAAGGAAAGCAGCAAAGAAAGGCAAAATACGGATAGTTGTTAAACCTATCCACAATGAGTAATGAGAGTTTGTTATACTAATTTTGCTTACTTTTATGTTTGAAATTTTCCATAATCTTTTAATGAAAGCAAAAGAATGAGAAAGGTATGTAGTATGCGTAACTGAAAAAATTTCTATCCAAAAATATGAACAATGCTTATATATGTTAAGCATATATAAGTTCCATAACCACATTCTTTTTTTATTTTTTTAAGATTTATCCATTTATTTATGATAGAGAGAGAGGCAGAGACTCAGGCAGAGGGAGAAGCAGGCTCCACGCCTGGAGCCTGATGCGAGACTTGATCCCGGGACTCCAGGATCTCGCCCTGAGCCAAAGGCAGGCGCCAAACCACTGAGCCACCCAGGGATCCCCCGATAACCACATTCTACTTATTCAGTAGAAAAAGGAGATCAACAGGCATACAAGGAAGTGTTGATAGTAAATCATTACACAGAAAAACCTGCAGCTTTGTTATTAGAAATAAAATTAGCATGAAAGTATTGCCGTGTGTTTATTAAGCTAGAAAAAAATTATAGAACCTTATGTTGGCTAGATGACTCACTTCTGTACTCACTATTGACTGGATCTTCCTGGACGGAAAACTAGCAAAGTCTGTGGGATGCATAAGTGTCTAAGACATTAGTGAATGCTGCTATAGAACAGACTTTCTTCTCTAAAATGCTGATAAATTTAGGTGGTTCCCCAAATATAGGTGGCCTTTTCAGCCCCTTAATGGTTCTGTAACTAGCAGCACATACTACAGGTCAGACACTATTTCCATGCATTCGATCCTCATAACTGCAGGAGGGTAGCTTCTATTACTGCATCTTACTGACAAGGGAACTCAGTCTTTGCAAAGTAAAGTGATTTTCCCCAAATCACACATTAATAATGAGCTCAACCAGGATTTGAGCCCAGACAGTCTTACTTCAAACCCCCTGCTTTTTAAATCATTCCTCCAAATTCCCTCTCAAAATTAAAGCCATGTATCAAGTAGTTGACTTTCCTGTGTAGGGCCATTTAATTGCTTCAAGATAGCTACTACTAATATTACAGCTTTGTTTTAGTATAGATTCTAGATGGTTTTGACCATAATGCTGATGGGAAGAAGCAGTGAAACAGATCTTCTGATATATAACTGATGGCATTGTAAATAGGTACAGCCTTTTTTGGAAAGCATTTTGGCAGCATATTTCAAGAACCATAAAATGCTCATATTTTTTGACCTAGTTAATGCCACTTCTGGGAATCTTCTAAAGAAATAGTCTAATATGGAAAAAGCCGTAAGCACTAAAGTGATCACCACAGCCATGTTTGTAATAGAGCAACTGGAAGCAACCCTAAATGTTCATCAGTAAAGGAATGATTAAACACACCATGGTATATTTACTTAGGCAGCCAATAAAGATGAAATGTGATGCAACATAGACAAAGAAAACACAGTCATCTTGAGTTTTCAAAGCAGCACACAGCTGTATGTGCACTAAAATTATAGCTTTTACAAATATGAAAAAAGAATGACAGAAAAATGTCATTGGGTGATATTTTTCTTCTGTTTTTCAAGCTTTTAGTAATACATATTTATTCCTAATTTTAAGAATCAAGTCACATGATTACTTAATAAAAATGTTTTTGTGTATTTATCTCCTAACCCTCACTAGATTGTAAGCTGCTTGGTGATTGCCTGCAGCATGCTAAAAACATGCAAAGGGCACCATTGAATACAGGCAAACTTCAAGCACTTTTCAGGTGCTTCATTTACTGGTTGCAGGAACCTCGGCCAGTCACTGTCTCAGCTGCCTCATTTGACCCATGAAGTGAGCAGTGCAATTTGCAAAGCATGAGTAGAATCTGGAGTCAGGGAACCTTGCTGTATGTCTTTGGCTCTTAGACAAGTGGCTTAAACTTTGTAAAGCTCAGTTTCCTCATCCATAAAAATGAAGCTAGTGAGGTCAAGGTCTGGTGCTCCTTTAAATGCCTGAAAATGTTCCTTCCATTCATCTTTGGCCCTTATAAGGTGTTCCTTCACTTTCTTTATCCTCACATGATGAGAGCAAATATAGAGTCTTTCAGCTAACTTCTTTTACCTGACACCTTTTGAGCAGCAGCTTTTACACATCAATCTTCTGGTGTACCTTGTCTATAATTTAGGGTTAAGGATGAAAGAACAAAATCTTTTGTCATTCACTGTGGCTGGCAAGATTTTCAGTTTTGTTTTAATCTTTTTTTTTCTCCATTATAAAAATGTAGTAAATGGTCATTGTCACATTTGAAAAATACGAAAAGCTGCAAGGAAAAAATTATACCATAATCATTCTATCTAGAAGTAACCATTATATGTTTCATTTTATTTCTTTTTAATTTTTTCAATATTTTTATCTGCTTTTTAAAAAGGAGAAATATAGGAAAGCTCTTATTCGAATGTTTGTTATGTTTGGGGCAAGTTTAAAATGATGTTTTGTGTTTGTTTTGAAATAGTTTACCTTTAATTAGTAATTCTTATAAAAGGATAGACTAAGCCACCGGGAAGGAACCAGATGGAGAATGGGGGTAGGGATATCTCTATCTTAATTAGTAGGATAGTTTATTTCTATAATTCTGACACCTGTTAAAGAATGAACTTAGTAAAGTCTAATTACCCAAGTCATGCTTCCTGGAATTTTTTAGGACAATTACAATTTTAAATAACTTGTGATGTTTTCATTGCAAGTTATCTTGTACCATTTCTGATCATGTGTTGTGAGTTTTGGTTTGGAAAATACAATCATCATACATAAACTTGGAATAAAGAAAAAGCTTACAGAATAACCACAGATTCTTGGCTCTTGTCCTTTTCATTTTTAGAACATGCAGTTTAAAAAAAAAAAAAAATCAGTCCCTGTAATATCCTGTGGAGAAAAGGAGGAAATTTATCCAGTGTCAGAACCAACAGCAGCAAATACCTCGAAAAACAGCCTAAGCTACTGTGGCCATGTGGGGCCAGCATTGATGTCACATTACCCTGACTTGTGTTGGACTTGTACTTAAATCAGTAAGAGAGAATGCACTTGTTGAGGGATTGAGAGCCTTGATCCCTCCATTTTCTGGGCTTTGCTGTTGAAGGGAGGCTTCTACAGGATGACTTTAAAAATGGGGGGAAAGGTCTTTTCCTTCTTTCATTTCTTTTCTCCAGAGCAGCAATAGAATTATGAATGGTGACAGGGTACATCCCATATAAATAATTTGCAGTGTGGCAGATCTGTCATCCTCACTACATCGAAAAAGACATGAGAAATGTTCGAGGTCAGTGTATTGTCTTGCCTCATCACTCTCCTTTGAATATGCCACTGCGGCTTGTGCCCTTTTGACTTCTGAGGTCTGCTGCCACAGGCAAGAGACTCTTGATTGGTTGGGAGTAGGTGTCCCTCACTCCTGCTTAAGTATCTGCACATCAGGGAAGTCACTTGTCCTTTTGAGTCATTTCTTCTGACAAGGATGGGCCATAACTCCTTACTGATACTGCTTGTTAACCCTTCCCAATCACTTCCTCTTTGAGGAAATCACTTGACTTCTTTACAGGAGAACACCTAACTGAGGATACAGCTTAGAATTTAATTGACCTCTACAGCCTTAGGCAGTACTTAGGTGCTGTGGGGTAGTGGGGATTTGTAAGTGTAATGTGAGAAGGGGGCAGATAACTAAACCCTGTAAACCTTCTACTTGGAATAACTTTAGTCCCTCCAGAACTGTGCTTGCCTGAGATAGAACTTAGCATCCTGTGAAAAATTATGACCTGAGACTTTTGAACTGCTGAGGAAAGTGATATCCAGAGCTGGAAAAGGGAGGAAGCTCCATAGAATATTAGCTGAATTTACATGCTGTTCTTGTAAGAGAAGATGATCAGTTCTACTTAATTCACTATACTTTTTAAATTTTTTTCTATAGTTGATTATTGATAAGTGATTTTTTTTTTTCAGTATTGCCTGTCGGGGCACCCAACTTTACCGTGCAATGTACTCAAATTCAAATCAACTACCATTATGTTGGACTGTGGACTGGACATGACTTCCACTCTCAATTTCCTTCCTTTGCCACTTGTTCAAAGGTATGTGCTGCTGCATCTGAGACAAAATGAGCATTGGTTTGCTGAAAAATGATACTGATTAGCATAAAGATTACCAGTACCTTGTGTGTTGTCCTTAGTTTACTTTGTTCCCCTAAAAATGTTCTTCATCAGAATTATTTCCTTTGGCTGGGTTGATGGAAAGTGTTGTATCGATTTATTGATTGACTTCTTTATTATAACTTCTTCTGAGCGTCTGTAAATGTTCTTGCAACTGCTCCATGCAAGTAAGGTCATGTATATTTCATCTTTCTTGCTAATTCATATAAGAGCTGATAAATGGTCAACTGATGAGCCCAAGAATTGAATTTTAGAATAAATTAACTGCCTTTGCAGGGACTTGACATCATAGAACCGACATTTCTTTTTGATAGGTATCTATGTGTTTTTTTCATAATAGTCAGCTATAGAAATTATAGAATAATATATGCAGCCAAAGTCCTTGTCTTAAAGCAGATAGATTACCTGAAGCCTATAGTCACCACTGTTTACTCTTACTATGACTTTAAGAAATTGGTTTCCCAGCTTGCAGTTAATTGAAAACAGCAATTTATAAGAGAGTTGGGTAATTAACAGAAGCAAATACATTCCCAGTAACAAAAAGTGGTACATAGGAGAGACAGAAAATCTATCTAAAGCAGATTTAAGAGCTTAAAAGCATAGCAACCTGAGCAAACTATCTAATGTATTTCATTCATTCCTGAAGACATCACTATATGCAATGATTATTCATAATGATAACCTTCTAGAAAAAGTATAATTAAAACTCACCCTCTGGTTTTTTTTCTGAGATAAGGGATACAATAAGGGGACAGAGAGAATTCAGAGATAATTCCAGATTACATTTTATGCAAAGCTGATAAAATTCAAATATAATCACACCCAACACTTAGAAATACATTTATTATCCACAGATATTATCTATCTATATATATTTACAATTGTTTCAGAAACTGTAGGTATCACATATATTTCTGTAAAAAATGACTGACAAGTTATTTCTTACTAAAATAGCGTGATATTATTGTCTATGTGCCCTCCCTCCACCCCCACCCCCACCTCCCCAGATTACAGTGTTCATTTATTTGGTGTTTATCAGGAATCTGCACTGTGCTGGACCAAGGGATACAGACATGAATAAGACAACTTTATTTTCCTCATAGAGCTTATATTCTGTTGGGGAGAAAGTATTTTACAGTTGAAGATTTCATTATAGTTGTGTTAAGAGAATAACTATATATTTGAGATAATTACTAAAAAATAAAATATAAGGTACTAAAAGAGTTTCCAAAAGGGCTCCTATATGCTCTGTGAGATCATGAATTATCTTGGTGCTCAGTCCTGAATTGGGCAGACAATTCTGTCTGCATATTTTCCCTTTCTTATTCATTCTTGTCTTTACTTAATTCTGTATTCTCACAGCACTGATTCAGCATTGGAATCCCCTTATACTCTCTTCCCCTTATCATCGTTCTTCCATCAGAGAGAGGTTATACTTGTGGGATGATTGGCAGTCCATATGTAGTTCCTTATAAAGAGTATTTTCTGTTGCTTAGACCAGAAACCTTGGAGATACACTTGGCTAAAATAGTATCCCCAGTCCCTCCCTGGCCCTTCATCCTACTTGGCTTTTCTTCATAGCACTTATATGTACATACTTAGTCTATATATTAGCTATCTTTTCCACTAAAAGTTTTTTAAGGACAGGGATGCCTAAAATAGTTCATGGCATATATTAGCTACTCAGTAAAGATTTGTCATAAGAATGAATCCTTTTATCTTCTCTGAATCCAACCCTTCTTAAAGAGCGATTTTGCTATTAATTTTAATCTTTCTTTTTTTATCTTGAACCTCTCCATCTTGATTCAGTTCTTCCCATTTAATTATACTCAGTTACTAATTTAATATTTTTAAATTTTTTTAAGATTTTATTTATTTATTCATGAGAGACACACACAGAGTGGGGGGGGGGGGGCAAAGACACAGGCAGAGGGAGAAGCAGGCTCCACGAAGGAAACCTGATGTGGGACTCGATCCTGGGACTCCAAGATAATGCCCTGAGCCAAAGGCAGATGCTCAACCACTGAGCCACCCAGGCGTCCCAAATTTAATATTTTTAAAAAATGTTTTTAACCTTCTCTCAACTCTGCTTTCCCCTTCAGCATTACTAACTCCTCTCCACTCTATACTTTGCCCATACCACCTACCAGGACATTGCTTACTAGAGTCAAAAATGACTTCCATGTCACTAGATGCACATTTGTCCGTTCTCATTCCTATAATGCACATTTGTCCATTCTCTGGCCATCAGCTGGACCTTTCCTCCATGATAATGAGCTCCTCTGTTTTCCTCTTTTCTGACTTCCTCTTCTATCTATTCCGGAGATTCATCTTTTCTAACTTACAGTCACATATCAGAATTCTTCAATATCCAGTGCTTGGCCAGTAGAGTCTCCACCAAGGGAATTTCCTAAATGCTTAGGGCTTTGATAACCATCTAAACAATAACCTACAAATGTATATCTTTAGTTAATAATTCTCTTCTGAGTTCCAGATCCATATACCCGAAACAACTACTGAGGGTTTTTTTTTTATTCCTTGAATCTGGTTTGAAGTCGCTTCAAAACTCAGCATGCCTCAAACTGAGTCCATGAGCAAACTTGGTTCAGAAGAGGAGAGAAGACCTTCCCAGATCTGGTTTTCCTCTGCAGTACCCTATGTTAGTGATTGGCAAGCTGTTACAAAAGCAAGAAAACTGGGAGTTAACTTAGATATGCCACTCTTTCTCACTGCCTATATGCGAGTCTTTCATGAAGCCTTGTTATTTTTAACTTCTCAAACACTCTAGAATCCAGTCACTTCTCTTTAGTCCTGTTATAAGCATGACCATCTTTATAGGCATTACTGCCAGAGCCTCCTAGTCAGTTTCTTCAGTTCTAATCTTGCTCTCATCTGAATCCAGAGCCATTTTTGCATAACTTTTTATTTTGAAATCATTTTAGACTTATAGAAAAGTTGCAAGAATAGTACAAACAACTCCCAATTGCCCTTGTTAATATTTTATCATATGTGCTTTATCATTTTCTTTTGATATGTATGCATATAATTTTTTCTGATCCATTTGAAAGATACAGGATGCTCCTTTACTACCTAAATAGTTGAGGCCTATTTTCTAAGAAAAAAGAAATTATTTTATATAATCACAGTATAATAATCAAAATCAGTGAATCCAGATAATACACTGACACTGTGTTAGTGTCTAGGCTGTATACCTTTTTCATATTTCCCAAGTTATACCAATTCATATTTCACTCTAATACCTTTTATAGGAAAAAAAAAAAGAATAGCATTACTTGTCCAAGATCAGTCCAGATCACACATTGCATTTAGTTGTCCTGTCTTTAGTCTCCATTAATCTGGAAGAGTTTCATAGTCTGTCTTTATGACCTTGTCATTTTTAGGAGTATAGCCTAATTATTTTATATAGCATCTTTCAGTTTAGATTTGTCTGGTATCTCCTCATGATTAGATTGGGGTTATTTTGATAGGAATACCACACAAATGTGCTATATATTACCAGAATGCACATGGTGTCAATTTTCTTCAGAATCAACCTTTAGAAATATATATCTAATCTTGTCTCTCACCTCTTTAAAACCTTTCAGTGGTTTTCATTGGTCTTAGGATAAATACCAAGTTCATCTACCCCTCTAGTAGCTCACTTTTTATTTCCTTTCAGTTTCAAAGAAATCATGTATCCACATATTTTTCTTTCAGCCATAAAGATTCTTCTCTTCCTCCCCCATCTTGCCTTCCCTTAGCCTACTTCAGAAGAGCATTTATACCTCCAGTTTCTGTAGGAAGGACATAAAGATAGCATTCTGATTGGATGAGACAGAGAGGAGGGTAAGTGGGCCTCTTTGTGAAGTTTCACTTGAATAACGTTTTATATAAGATATCCATGCCAAAGGCTGGTCAGAATGACTGGAAGAGAGTATGGGCCTTGTAGCTGTCTTTCTCTATTCCCTCCAAACCCTGCCCTTTGACTCAGTTTCCCCTTTAATCTAGAACTGTCCAGATCTCAGTTCAGTCATTGTAGGCCCAGAGAATTCTTTTTTTCTTTTTTTTTTTTTAAGATTTTATTTATTTATTCATGATAGACATAGAAAGAGAGGGAGAAGCAGGCTCCATGCCGGGAGCCCGATGCAGGTCTCAATCCTGGGACTCCAGGATCGCGCCCTGGGCCAAAGGCAGGTGTTAAACCGCTGAGCCACCCAGGGATCCCCCCAGAGAATTCTTTTGATGCTGCCTTGACCACTTCCTCTTTAGAGAACTTTCTACTATATTGCATCATCATTTTTAGCATTTTGTACTCTTTTTGTATGATTACTTGATATGTCTGTCTTCCCTGCTTACTCAGAAGGACAGATATGTTTTATTCATGGTCATATCACCAGAACCTGCATACCTGACAAATAAAGATTCATTACTAAATGAGTGAAGATGAACACCTCATTCTTCTACAGTACTGTACCACATGTTAAGGCTGTTCTCTCCCTCTTCCCTCTTTATGGAAGCACCTCCTCCACTCTCACCTCCTAACTCGGAATAAAAGTTGTTAATAAGAGTTGTTATTTTATTATTGTTATTTTTTTTTAATAATAACAATACCCCACACTGTCAATCATGCCCTTTCTGTGTGAACCTATAACACCTCTAATTACCACTTCACCACTTCATAGTTTCATTTTGTTTTGTTTTTCTTAAAATTTATTCATGAAAGACAGAGAGAGGCAGAGACACAGGCAGAGGGAAAAGCAGGCTCCCTGGGAGGAACCTGATGTGGGATTCGATCTTGGATCCCAGGATCACGCCCTGAGCCGAACGCAGATGCTCAACCACTGAGCCACCCAGGCGTACTCCTTTCATAGTTTTTATTTTATTCCATTGTAATTGCTGTTTACCATCTCCTTGTATTAAAGTGTGCACTCCTAAAATTTAAGGATTATTTTGTGTACTGTCATATGCTTATACTTTGTATACTTTGCTCAAGAGTAAGCTCTTATTAATGTTTTTTGAATGAAGGAATGTGTATGCCTCTTACATTCTTTTCTGATTATAAAAGTAATACATTTCAAAGTAGAAAGTTAGAAAAATGAGGGCAGCCCCGGAGGCCCAGCGGTTTAGGGCCGCCTTCAGCCTGGGGTGTGATCCTGGAGACCCTGGATCGAGTCCCACATCAGATTCCCTACATGGAGCCTGCTTCTCCCTCTGCCTGTGTCTCTGCCTCTCTCTCTCTCTCTCTCTCTCTCTCTCTCTCTCTTTTTCTCTCTCTGTCTCTCATGAATAAATACATAAAATCTTAAAAAAAAAAGAGAAATGAAAAGTAAAAGAAAATGAATTGCATATCATGTTCATTCTACCTTTCACTTTTTTTTTAGGCAATAAATTACTTTTAAATGCCTTAGGTTATTTATATACTTACAGGAATATTTTACCTATTTTTTAAAAATAAATAGATGAAGGGGATTAAGAGGCATAGACTTCCAGTTATAAAGTAAATAAGTCACAGAGATGAAAAATACAGCATAAGGAATATAGTCATTAATATTGAAATAATGGATGGTGACATTTGGTGACTACAGTTATCATGGTAAGCATTTAGTAATGTATAGAATTGTTGAATCAATAAATACTAAAATGGCAGATCTTGTATACATGTTTTTTCTTGACTATAATATTTTTAATGGCATTTTTTCTAAAAAATTGTTGAATGGAAGATGCAAAGATATTTCATCTATAATCATAATTTTTCTCCCATATTTTATTAAAGTAAATTTCTGTGGAGACTTCTGTCTCCTTGTTTTACAAAATTTACACAGTCGGGCACCTGGATAGCTCAGTCAGTTGTGTCTGACTCCTGATTTTGGCTCAGGTTATGATCTCAGAGTAGTGAGATCAGGCTCCATGTCAGCTCCACCCTGGGTGTGGAGCCTGCTTAAGATTCTCTCTCCTTTTTCATCTGCCTCTCAATCCCCCACCCCACCCCCCATGCACACAAATGCTAGCTCTCTCTAAATTTTTTTTTAAAAATTAAAAAAATAATTACACAGGAAAATTGTGTGATCATTAAGAGCAATATAATAAATCCCGTCCCCTTTGGTAGCTTAAAGTGTACTGACTGATTTAGTCATTAAATGAGTAAAACTCAGTAACCAAATATTTTTATCTCTGTAGTCAGCATCCCTTTGCCATTTGGTGACACATTTCTGTGGCCATCATCTTTGATACTGTTGTTATGACATGGTTATTGCTTTTCCTTGAGCAATCAGTTCCATCTACTGGCAATTTCTCAAATCCAGAATAACTACAGGTGTTTTATAGAAGGCTTTGATGTTATTAAAAAATAGTTTAACAAGAGTTAAAACTACAGCTTCTGGGGGGCTCCTGGCTGGCTCAGGTGGAGGACCAATGTGACTCTTGATCTCAGGGTTGTAAGTTTAAGCTCCACACTGGGTGTAGAGATTACTTAAAAATAGAATCTTAGGGGGAAAAAAAAAAAAGAAACCTACAGCATCTGAACATTTTACTTTAAAAAGAATTGTCGGGATCCCTGGGTGGCGCAGCGGTTTGGCGCCTGCCTTTGGCCCGGGGCGCGATCCTGGAGACCCGGGATCGAATCCCACGTCGGGCTCCCGGTGCATGGAGCCTGCTTCTCCCTCTGCCTGTGTCTCTGCCTCTCTCTCTCTCTCTCTCTCTCTCTCTCTCGCTCTGTGTGACTATCATAAATGAATAAAAAAATTAAAAAAATAAATAAATAAAAAGAATTGTCTGATAAGCAGTGAGGACATGTGAAGACTGCTGAATCATTCATCTATAATTTGAAGGCTGATTCGTGTGTGGGGAACAGACAATGCATGTCCTGTGATCCAGTTCTCTTTACAAAGGAAAGTGGATATTTACAACCTTTCTTTAGAGAGTTAGCGGGCATGAGATGAAAACGGTATTCCCTTTGTTTTGTCATTATACTTTCATCTGAGTGCTTCGTTTTTAGATCTGATCTGACAGTAAATACATTTTTCAAGAAGTCTAGAAGTGAAGACACACATGTAACCATGAAATGAGATGGAAATTAAACCATTAATGATAGAATATTTTTCTGAGAGGTTAGAGCAGAGAACTTCCACAGTTTTAAAAAACAAGCTTATCAGGTATATTTTATACAAACCAAATTTATTCTGCTACTAGTAATTTTCATTCCTAAGTATGAAATCCAAAATTCTCACTTTTTGATAAATAAAAGCAAAATGTTAACAGAGAATAGGGAAAGGTATGTGACTTCATTATCCTTACATTCTTAGAACTTTTCTGTAAATTTGAAATTATGTCAGAATTAAAAGTTATCCCTCAAATTCTTATTTTTTTCTAAAATTAGATAGATGTATATTTTACTTGGGTTTTTAACCTTTTCTAAAAGACTGGAAAATATTCACAATATTTGTGTTTCTATTTGACTTTCATACCCTAATTACAAAGTCTGAACTTGATAAAACTATTTTGGCAAGAAGATGAGGGACTGTATATTAATTTGATTTCTGATTATGGAGTCTTTTAGTCCCACACCATTATTTTGCCCTTAATTTTTTACTTTAGAGACTAATTTTGTGATGAACTGCTAACATCCTGTCGCCATCCAACTTGTACTACTGATGTGCTTTCTTCACATAACACCTTGGTCATTAAGTTTTTCTTTTCATCAGCATTTCTCCCTAAGTTATTTGCATTTTCAGCCTTCAGCATAATTCTTCTAGTCAACTAACAGCATACACTCAAATTCTGAGATTACCAGAAGTAAATGATATCTGAATCTAGATTTCTTAAATGTAACATGTACTTGAAATCAGCCTCACTATCTAGAAAGTATTCACCTACTATATGCTGTCGTTTTGTAATACTTAGGAAAACTAGGTTCATTTTCCAGAATTGGAAACCCAAGCCACAGGTGAGAAGTGACTAATCCATTTATAAACAGTGAATCTGGAATGTGGACTTGACTGAAATTCAGGTATTTTTATTTGCAGTGAATTCAGGCTGATAGGCAGCTGAGTGTTCTTGTCAGAGCACCTGACTCCTTGAGTCTGTTTTCTCATCCACAATATGATGATCCCATTCAGCTCTCCCCTCAGGCTTCTTGTCAAGCACAAGCAAGGTGAAGTCATGGGCAGTCACTGGAAAACTATAAAATGTTCTAGTGTCTCATCTTTCTTCTTTCCCTTTATTATTCTGCATAGGAGTCTTTCATCTTCCCAGTTTAGCGCTAAACTATTTGGCTTTTTAATGTTCTGTTGCCACATAATTCTTAAGCTTGTTACAACATGGTTATTTTTCATCTTTTCTATTAGTATTTTGTGTGGACATTGCTGCCAGTAATTTGAAACTGTTTTTAACTTTATGGAGACGATACAGTCACCATGAAATCACTGAGGACTATAATCTACTTAGGATAATTTAATCTTTTGTTTTGCAGTCCCAGGCTGTCTAATCTTCCTGGCTGGTCCCTAAAGGATGGAAATGCTCTTTTGGACAAGGTAATGATAACCGAGGCATATCTACACCCAGTGGAAAGCCATCTTGTGATACCAGAGCCACCCCTATTGTAATGTGACTGGTGGGCTCATTTTTTCCCCCTGTGTATTCTCTGAAAAATCCTGAGATCCATGTGTAGGGTCTTCTATTTCTTTAGAAATAATCTAAACTTGGCGATTATTGTTTTTTAAGAGCCTTTTAGGGAATCTCAGTGTTCAGATTCAGGTCCAATTTGCTTGTGTGTAAAAATCTAAGAACTTCTGCTGCAAATACATTTTATCACCACAGAAAGAAAACTATTATTTTTAGAAATGCGATGAGAGTTTCAAAGGTAATGCCTATAGAGAGTTCCATCCGGTTCGTTCTATTTTCAGGCTGTACTAACTCCATGACTGGAAGGAGTAAAATTTTTTTAAAAAAAACTTTAAAATCCTCAAGTATGTGAGTTTTAAACTGCTTCTGTCGGCAGTTAGGTAAGGTAGGGCTTTGAACAAAGTTTGCTTCTTACTCTTTGGGTGAGGAGAGGCCATGGAAGGTTTTAAGAAGGCAGTATCATTGTCTGATCAGATCACTCTGGCTGCCATGTAAAGAACAGACTACGAAGCCAGTGTTTAACTTCCCAGGCAGTGTGTTCTTTTGGTGGGGGGGGGGGGGGGGGTATGTTCTTGGGTAAATTGTAAAAAAGGGTCTTCTCAACTATGAACTATGATCTTATTCCAGCCTTTCCTGGTAACCTAGAATGGGCAGCCTTATGTAGGTCATAAAAAAATGGTACAGTTCTAGGAATTTAGGGTTTGGGGTTCTGTTATGACTTTAATCACTGACTACACCTACAGTAAATGACAACTTTTTTCTTTGAGGCTATTAAGTTTTTGACATTAGATTATCTTCACCATAATAATTCCTTCCTCAGATCAGTTTTTAGGCAGTCAATTTATAAATGAGAGACCAGGGATCCCTGGGTGGCGCAGCGGTTTGGCGCCTGCCTTTGGCCCAGGGCGCGATCCTGGAGACCCGGGATCAAGTCCCACGTCAGGCTCCCGGTGCATGGAGCCTGCTTCTCCCTCTGCCTGTGTCTCTGCCTCTCTCTCTCTCTGTGTGACTATCATAAATAAATAAAAAAAATAAATAAATAAATAAATAAAAAATTTATAAATGAGAGACCAAAGATACAAAAAATGTTAAAACTGTAATCTAATCATATTTTCTACTAAAAAAATCCAAAGTAAAAGATGGTTAAAAACTGTAAAGCTCATCCATGCCACTCTTCGTCCTCTAAATCATTCTTCCTCTCTCAAATTTCACAATTTTTTTTAAGTTTTATTTATTTATTCATCAGAGAGAGAGAAAGGCAGAGACACAGGCAGAGGGAGCAGCAGGCTCCATGCAGGGAGCCTGATGTGGGACTCAATCCTGGGTCTTCCTGGGTCCCCAGGATCACACCCTGGGCTGAAGGCAGCGCTAAACCACTGAGCCACCTGGGCTGCCCACAAATTTCACAATTGAAAGACTGAATAAATTTGATTCTTAAAAAGAATAATCTGTGTAAGGCATTTTCTTCTTGTAGTAGGTATTGTTAAAGAAAGGGTGGTATTTTTATAGAATTAATTTCTATAACTGCACCCCAACCTCCAGTGCAGGCCAAATGCATATTTTGAAACCAGATTTCCCTTATAGTTAACTGTAAAATTATGTGACATTCAGGGACCTGTGCACCTGATTTCAGCCTGACTCTCCTGCTGGCTATAAATCATTGTTCCCTGAGAAAGGCTTGGAAGCATCCCATTACCAGTACATTGTGAGCGAAAATGACTTGCATGTGTATGTGGGAGCATTTCATTACAAGGGAGTGGTGAATAAAATACAGGGACACTGTGAGTGCACGGAATGGCAAATACGCTTTTCCAGGCCACGAAAGAGGAGAGCCTCTGAGGAGGCTTTGTCATGTGAGGTGGACATGCTCCGATGTGTAACATTATGAGGAAGAAGATTACACAGCCAATTTAAGACCAGGCAGGACTTTGAAATTTCCCATGATTTGTCTTTAATCATATTTAGCCTCATCCTAAGGGAGTTGGAAGTCTTCTCTCATTAAACATAATTGCTCATTTGTTTTTAGCTAACAGGTACACTATAATTAAGAACTGTTTCAGTCCGTTTTTGGCTCCATCTTTCACTGTTTAAACAGTAATTCTGTAAAGAGAGGAGCCAGTTTACAGTGGAAGGCAAGGGGAGGAAATCTTCTGTCAAGGTTCTGATATGAGACTTGTAAAATTCAAACGGAAAATAACACATAGTTAATACCCTAATTTCAGATAAAGATTGAGAGTAAAACCATTCAGACTCTAATGTATAAAGACACATATATGACTATATAGAAAGGCATGTTCAGTGATGAATGAAAACATGATGGAACAAAATTCCAACAGTATTTCTCTTTTTCTGGAAAGAGCAAACTATCAGCCAAACACTGATTTTCACTCATATCCTTATAAAATCATAGAAAATGTTAACCTTGATGAACCAAAAAAATCCTCCATGGATTTCAGTTTAAAGTAGGAGTGAGGGAAGACAGCAACTCTAGTTGCATGTGTATCAGCTGACAGCTGATTCTAGTGGCCTCGGGAGGCATTGTAGCAGACCCTGTTGGTGGCCCACTCATGCCTCTTCCCTGTGCTATTCTCTCATAATTTCAGCTGCCAGTCAGTATGTCTACCAATCTGCCAGAGAGCTTTTTCCGTGAAGCTGCACAAAATGCAGAAGTTGCCATGTAAATATCCCAGATCCTTTGCCTTTGGGGAGTGTGACTCCAAGGTGTATGTTCTACACCACTTCTTAGAGTTCCTGTGGGAGTAAGTTCCAGCTGCCCACAGTGGTGTGTAGTTCAGTAACATATCCATTGTCTGCTCCTGTCCTTTCCCTTAATCACTCACATATCCTGCTCTTTTCTCAGCGCTTCCAGATCAGCTTGCACTCACCCTTTTCTTGACATCTGTTGTTGAGGAAATCCAAACTAAGGCATATTAAATATGGTAGGTCATGAGCAGAGTGGGGAGTTGTAGTTTATTTTTTTTTCTATGTAAGTATACTTTTTTCTTTTGAATGAAGACATTTGGTATATAGCCCTGAATAAATTGTATGCTCTGCAAAGACAAAGATTATGTTCATGGAGGTGATGGTGGTGGTGATGGTTTAATCCCTACCCTCTACTCTTCTTCTCTGTCCTTGCCTACCCCTTACCCCTCAACCCTTGGTAGGAGGAGAAAGAGGCTGTAAGTCATTTGTCTAGGACCAGAACTCCTAAGCTGATCGCATCATAAAATCACTAGATTTGCTTATTATAAATATAGGTTGCATGCCTCATCCCCAGACTTCTGATCCCTTGGATCTTAGATGGGACTCAGGTATCTTTACTTCCATGAGTATTACCAGATCATTCTGATTTTGCTGTACAGGCTACATGACTATTACTTGGAAAGCACTGCATCATGAGTTAGAAAGTAGCATATGTCCACACCTGCCTTGAAGAGGCAACAAGAAATGTACAAATTCTAAGTTAGCCACCAAACACTTTTTATCCTGAATAAGACACTTAGCCTCCCTGGGCCTAAATAGGAAAAACAGTTGGCCTGAATAACCTTCCAGCTGCCCTCTAACTCTTTGGCGATCTGTGATTCTTCATGGAAAGCTTGGTTTGGGGATAAAGTTTCTTTGGTGCTGTATCTGTTGGATATCTCTTCCTAGAATTTTTTTCCTTTTTGTTCCTTTTAGGAGCTAAAAGAGTGCTCAGGTCATGTATTTGTGGATTCTGTGCCTGAATTCTGCCTACCAGAGGTAAGATGAAAGTGATTCTTACTGTAGAAACAAAGCATATCTCTCAAATGAAGTCAAGAAATAATTTTAAGGGGCTTAGCTTTGTTTTCAATTTGAAATGAATCTATTATTCCAGGCACATTATTATGCAGCTAAAATATAATCATTTAGGAGCTTTTTATTTTTTTCTTTTTTTAGGAGATTTTTATATTATCTGTAAGAAATTTAACTCTGCTTTTTTGTATTCCTTGTTCTTTCTGTAATCGCCACCGATACTTTGTACCAGGGCATAGTTTTGAGCAAGGTTTAGAAATAACTCAAGCCTCTCAGTTTTGTAATTACATGCCGGTGTCTTAGATTAGCCATACCTTTTGTAGTCCTGCTTACAGTGTGTATTTGGGAATTGCTGTTAGTTCAGCCAATATAGTAAAATGTAAAAATTCTTGCTGACTTGAAATATCATATCAAATATTGCTTAAAATTCACAGATTCTGAATTGAGCCACAAGTACCTATTGCTTACATATTATTATCACAGTGAGATTGTTATAAGAGTTTGGGGCCAGTTTTACATTTTAAAGGAAGTGAAGATCAATTTCCATTCATTTTAAAGACAGCTAATCCCTCAACAATGCTGGTCTCTAGAGTGGTGAGATGGATTCTCAACAGACAGTATACGGAGACCAGTAGTTAGCAAGTCCCAGGTTCCTGAAGAAATCAACGAGAGGCTACCATTCTATTTTTTCCATGCACCTAGTGGATTATAGTGCCTATAGGAGATACTTTCACAGTTCAGTGCCAAAAGAAAATTTGGAGTACTGTTTCCCTTATTTTTGTACTCTCTTCCTGCCTCTCTTTCCATTTCAACACTTTCTTTGATACTCTGTAGATAAACTTTTCTTCTTTGAAGTATGTGTATGTGCCCTTTTGGGATAGTGGAGTGAAAGAGAAGAAGAAAGACAAAGCAAGGTATGGTAATTGAAGATGGCAGATAAGGGAAAAAGTTTGAGATAAAGTAATAAGAATAAGGGTGAAGCTAAAGAGTTACCAAGAATCCTGGTCTCTTCCTAACTGCTATTGAAATCTTTTGTCACCTTTATCTGTCATTTAGGAATTGGTGGGACAGGTCCCCATCTGTTCAAAGATTCCTAATTTCAAGTGCTACATTTATTTTTGGTACGGTACTGACTGCTGCAACCTTCAGTTCGTGGACAACAATGTAGAATTTATGAATTGATGTTCTGATGACTTTCTGACCTGCTCTGTAAAGTACTAAACTATTAGAAATTGGAATTAAACAATTATCATTTCACAGTTCATCTTTTGCTGGGCTAAAGGATTATTGATCTATTGAGGCTTCTAGAGCTATATATATAAGGGTTTTCAACTCGTAATGTCTTGTAGTTTGTATCAAGTTAGTAATAGTCACTATTTTAAGGTATAGGTAGGGCATTGTATGCTTCGGAGAAAATAAGAGAGTCACAGAATCAGGAGAGAAGTACTTACTTCAGTCTTCACAGACTTGAAGGTGAGCCAGGCAGACCTACTTCCAGTCTTCATGGAATTTATAATCTAGTACAACTACCTTAAACATTTTTGTATGCCTCAAAGTTCACACTGTAGACTGAGTATAAGGTCTAGGGCAGTATAGTAAGCAGCCAGTAAATTATGAGTGTTTGACCCAGTTTATGATCTATAGAACCCAAGTGTCTATATACAAGTTGAAAATTAAAATAATCCTCATTGGATTTCATCAAGTGAAAGAATGTAAGCAAATATATAAATGTGAGTATATAAACATGGTTTGGATGTTAAATTTATTTCTCAGAAGAAAAATGTTTATGTAGGCACTCTTGATATATATACAGAGTGTATATATATATTTTTTTCTTCCAGCTGTCCTCACCAGATTTTTCATCATTCTAGACTCTGTGGGCTGATTCTTATATATTAAAGAGAAATTTCAAACTCACCCAGTTTCTAAATGCAAGAGGGAGAGTGGAGATGCTTTTGAGCTTTCTTGTTGCTTCAACTGTTATTCCCTTGTTATCTTCCAGATCTGTCACTCTGTAATTATGTCTTAATTTTCTTATTTGTTTAGAAATGGTTCTAGAGAGATAGTAGGGAACAGAACTAGTGAAATGTTACATGACCCCTCATTATGAGGGTATTGTCTTGGAAGTGTACGGCATACAACATGGAGTTAAGGGTGGTATAAATTAACTATAGCTATCATTAGGCATTTTATTCACACAGATTGCCATTGCCCTAGCAATGGGTAGCTTCTGACCTCTAATCTACATGCTGTCTTCAGGAGCTGATTATGTCTTGGTGGCTTTTTTAAATTAACTTATTTTTCATGTAAAATCATTCAACTAGAAAATACCGACAGCCAAAATGGCGCATCATCTCTATTATTTGCAAAGATGTCATGAACATCTTTGTTACTTTTTCTCTGTGGGAGACATATTAGTTCAATAACCCATTCTCCTAACTAAAACACTTCCTTGACTTACCCCATATTGCCCTTAGTACTCCATATAGTTTCTAGAGGGAACTTCAGTGACTAAGATGATGTCTCTGAACCATAGCAACTCACTTTTTCCTATGGAAGGTGCCAGTCATAATGTTGCATTCCTCCAAAGACAGTGCACCAAGGCTTGCTTTGCACTGGCTACCACCACTGGGAGGGGACAGAGATGAGTCACACAAGATTCTTAACCTCAGAGACATTTAATACTGTCCAAGTGGTACTTTGAGGAGCTGTTGGGCAGAATGCTAACTGTCATAAGAGGGACATCCATAAAGTGTCTTGGCAGTTCTGAGGAAGAAATGTTTGTTTCATCTGGGCAAATCAGGAAGGCTTAATGGAAGAAGAGAATTGAGCCTTAAAAGACAGGTAGGACTTAAATATATGGGAAAAACAGTTCCTTCTACTAAAAAGGTTTTCATAAAATTTACTAAACAGTGGCATTTTCCTCTTTCACGTGATCCTAACAATGGAGTAAAAGGTAAATTTGAGTTTAAGCCTAGGGCAGAATATGAGAAAATTTCCTTTTGTGATTCTGCCACTAAATTTTTTTTGTTCTACATCCAGCACTGTTCAAAAGTTACCTTAAAAAAAAAAAAAAAAAAGTTTCCTCCTGCATTTGACTTGCATGCATTTCCTCTGCATGCTGCTCTCTCTGTTGCCAATAAACCAGTAGCCGTGGTGCATTATATTCTGGTTCCCCTCACAGCTTCTGTTGTGTTCTCTCTGCTTCATGGTAACTGGTTGCATTTGCCAGGCAGCAGCTGCTGAAGTGTTCTGTTGTCATTTACCCTCATATGTCAAACTCAGAACTCTATTTTAGTAAAATCAGAGTGCTGCTGGTGCACTGGCTGCATTCTCGTTCTTAGCCATCCTGTCATGCTACTTAATGTCAGTATTAGGAAATATCCTAAAATGAGAGAATAGAAGTGTTGCAGGAAAGGCATCATTATTCTGTAGTACAAAAACGACTTCTCTGCATTCTGACAGCATCATTTTTCAGTCACATCACGTTGATCTATGTGCCCTGAACAGATATGTATCATTCCCTCCCCTTTCTTTTCAGACCGAGCTAATAGATCTGTCTACAGTAGATGTGATCCTCATCTCTAACTACCACTGCATGATGGCACTGCCCTACATCACTGAGCACACCGGTTTCACAGGCACAGTGTATGCCACAGAACCCACCGTTCAGATTGGCAGGTGAGAGTGTATATCCGTATCCTAAGAGAAAGTACTCCTTTCTGTGGTGACTGTGTAATGGAGTGTTGTGCCAGGAGGGATTGGTGTCTCCTTCTGAGCAGCTAACCCAAAGAATTGGCATGAATAGACAACTCTGTAAATAAAACAAGTATTCGTTGAAATTGCCTGGAGATTAATGCAGTGAGTTGTCTTAGTCTTTTTTTTTTTTTTTTCTGTTTTTGAAACAAAGACTAGAGGAAGGTGTTCACCAAGACAGATCCTCTGTGCAGATGATACTAATTAGGGGAGGTAACGTTTGAGTTAAGACACCACAGAGTTGCAATGCAAAGAGCTTCAGGAGAAAGGAGTGTAGCACATTTAAGAAAAGAAGAAATTTTATTACTTTGTTTTCAGAATTTTCCCCCTTTATGATTTAATGCAGACTATAAATGGAGATAGCTTGTAGAAAATAGGATAAGTAGTTAAGTTGACTGTACTTTTGACAGAGTGTGACTCAGAACTCTAAGGAGTAAAAGGAGCCTTCCTTTGACTCTGAGAATGCTCTGCCATTTCTCTCTCTGCATTCCCCCAAGCTTTCATGACACAGGTATTTGCTTCAAGTACCCATAACATCATTCAGTGAGAGAAGTTATGTGAAGAAAATCACCTACCCCAGAAAAAAAAGTTGAAGCAAACTAACAAGTATGGTGTCAGGTGAAGCTATCAAGATTCAAAATATGAGATCAAGATGTTGATATGGACTCTTAGCTTTGGGTTCTCATGTCTTGCAGAAGTATAACAAGATGGGATTACCGTAGGTGAAACAAAGTATGTCCTCATTTTTGTGTCAGCTCACATGAAAGAACATGTAATGTGTACAGAGAAACATAGGGATCTGAGGAAGAGACATTATAGGGAAGTAAAACACAAGTGATGGATCAGTTGCAATGAGGATAAGCTGAAAACATTAGACTCTAGTCTGAAAAAGTTAAAGCATGAGGAAGGACACACCAGACCGTTCTTCATAGAGCTACAGTCGGAACGATAAGGCGCCTAGGTCCCAGATCTTTGAGTGCTGGAACTAATGCTGCTCTCTCAAGATGAAAGGAGGAGATGGGATTAGGAATAAATAAATCAGTGGAAATGAAATGAAGTTATTCAACATTCAAATGCTCGTAAATTGATGGCTTGCTATATCTATATGTTGATTGGGAGAAGATTTAAGTTAATATGGATCATCTATACTGGATTCTGAAAGGGGATTCAAGATGTTGAAAATCTGTTTCTTGCTTTTTGGTCATCTTCTGGCCATCCAGGATTCTAACAGTTCTCTGTGCCATGTATTCCTCAGAGTACATGCATCATTGATCCTCTCAAGTGAAGCATTTCTTAGGTTCCCTCAGTTGTGATTCCATTAGAGTCCATCTTGTGATCTGCACAAAGAGCCGGTCCTTTCAGGTCCTTGAGTTAGGCTTTTAGTATGAATCCTTAGAGTATTCTTCCACCTGGAATTTTGTAAATTCCTAAAATGTATTTTCCAGTTTAAAATGTCCATGTAACATTGCCATAAAAAAAACAGCCCTATCTATCCGTGCTGCCACCAAAATCAGGTACTTCACTGTCATATGACTTTTCCTCCCTTAGTATTTTTATTTCTCTAAAGGCACAGGTCTTAAGAGTAGGAGTTCAAGCACAGGCTTGTATATTTCAGTGTTCAAAGATAAGATACACGCCAGGCTTGTTTTAAAGTTGAATTAACTCATTTATGTTCTAAATGTTTAACATGGAAGTTTAATGAGATGGTTGGGGTTTTGTTCAGTTTTATGTAAAACAGTATCCAAGTTTATATGCAACAGAGAGAAAGATGATTGAGGCAGCCGGGAAAGGCAGACAAGCCCATTTGTCTTGGCTACAATGTAGAGTGTATGTTTTTCCCATTCTTTTATGACTGTTCACCACTTTTTTCTTTAAACTCAGGCTTCTCATGGAAGAGCTGGTGAATTTCATCGAAAGAGTGCCCAAGGCTCAGTCTGCCTCCTTGTGGAAGAACAAGGATATTCAGCGGTGAGCAGTAGGCCTATTTCCCTTGACAGTCAACCCTTAGGCTTTGCAAAACGGTCTCATTTGTTCTCTCATGTTATGCTTTCACATTGGTACTATTAGCACCAGAGGTTCACTTTTCCCTATTTTAGGGGAGAGCTATGTTTGATTCAACCAGCATATTATGAGAGGCAACTGTGCCATGTCTGAGGTATTGTGCTGGGTCTGAGAATTTTTAAAAACTAGTGAAACAATTGGCACTGTCTTTGAGGTACTCAGGGGTTGATGGGAAATCAGACCATTAATGGGTAAATTATAGTCTTAGATGGCATGTATTGTAAGAGGTGCCTGTTACAGTGTTATAGGCGCTCAGAAAATGAAGAATTTCTGAGTAGGGAAGCTGAGGAGAACATTCCTTAGGAAAAGACAGTGAAGGTGGATCTTGGAGGACGAAAAGGACTCTTCCTGATAGAAAAGATCAGGAAGTGCATCCAGATACAGCATGATGGGATATAGTATATTTGGGAACTAGTGAGAAGTATAGGATGAATTAGATTGGGAAAGCAGAGAGGAGAGGTGAGAGTTGAAACTAGAGAGGTATGTTGGAACAAGATAATGAAGAATCTGATGTGTAGAGTTGTATATTACAGAGAGTAGGAAGTCCCTTGGTGGAGGTTTATAAGGAAGAGAATGATGTGATCACATATTTGTTTATGGGGAAAGTAACTCTGCAAGCAGCGTGGAGGATGAATGGGGGCGCAGAGACAAGGGTAGAAGACCATGGCTAGGACTGTCAGACAAAAACGTGTCATTGGCTTTCTAGGTAATGAGTGTTCCATTAATGCCTATCCAAGTCCACGCTCTTCCAACCACCATGCTACTGAGTTCTTTTTCCCTCTAGGTCAGTGATTTGTTAGCTCTCTGATTATCAAAACTTGGAATGTCTTGGTTTTTGTGAATATTCCTTCTATAAGAACATGTATATGCAGGAGCACCTGAATGGCTCAGTTGGTTAAGCCTCCTACTCTTGATTTCAGCTTAGATCATGATCTCAGCGTGCCCCAGTCAGGCTCCATGCTCAGCAGGGAGTTGCTTAAGATTCTCTCCTGTGCTCCTCCCTCTTGCGCATGTGTATTCTCTCTCTCTCTCTTTCTCTCTCAAATAATAAATCCTTTTTAAAAAAGATTTTGTGTATGTAGCTGAGAGAATATGCTTTGTTTTTATACTATAACTCTTTCAGAGTTTGAGCATAAGTGTCCTCTGTGCATTCCTTTGTGTATGTGCTGTTTTATTTAACTTACATAGCACTTGGTGTGTGCCAGACACTATTCTCAATGTTTTACTTAATTCATTTAATTCTTTAACATCATTTTACAGAAGAGAAAACCACCACAGACAGGTTAAGCAACTTGCTCAAGGTCAGCCAACTAGGCTGTAGGATTTGAACTCAAATGCAGAGTGTGTGCTTTTAACCATTGTGCTGGGCTCCCTCTTGGGTATGCATGTCTCTTCTGGAGTGCATGTGAGCCCCCTCATGAGAGGGAAGGGAGAGGTATGTGTAACTGCACATTTTCTCTTCTGTTTTATGGATCTTCTTTGTGTCTCTCTTTCCTTGATTGGGGATATGGTACCCGTATGTCTTCATGGAAGGAAATGTTTTCTGGACACACACACACACACACACACACACACACACGTCTGAGTCTTGTGTTTGTATGTAAATGACTTCCTTGATCTGGCTGTGTACCTCCTTATAACAAGGTCCCTTCCCCTTCTCATTTTGCATTCTTATTCTCAGCTGCTTTTCCTCCTGCCCATTGCTATCCCTCCTAACCCTTTTCTTTTTAATTTTTTTTTATTGAAGATTTTATTTATTACAGAGAGAGAAAGCAGGAAATGGAGGGTGAGGGACAGAGGGAGAAGCAGACTCCCCACTGAGCAGGGAGCCAGATGTGGGGCTTGATCCTGGGACTCCAGGATCATGACCTGAGCCAAAAGCAGATGCTTAATTGACTGAGCCACCTGGGTGCCCCCCTCGTTCCCTTTTTCTTTCTCTCTCCCAGAGCCCACTGGACCACATCAGACATAGTTGTCTACCTTTCCCTCCTTAGAAATTTTAGGACTTTGTTTTCTATGTGGAACACGTACACCTTGGCTTCCCTTACTTCCTCCTTTTAAATTTATACCCTTTATGATATTTTGCCACAAATAATTTTGGCACACTAGAGGTGATGTTCAAAGGTCACTGTTTCCTGACTTCCAAACTCTGGGCCAAGTCTTAGGAAGTCCCACATCCTTATTTTGCCTTTTCTTCTATGACCTTGGGCAGAGTCCTTGGCAGTTTTCCTTTGCCTCCCATTCTTTGTAAAATACAACAAGATAACTGGCTTACAAAAGAAGTGCCACCATTTAGAGAATTGAATTGAACTTGAAGGAGTAGGGCACCTGTGTGCCTCAGTGGTTGAGTTTCTGCCTTTGGTTCAGGGCGTGATCCCGGGGTCCTGGGACCTGGAGCCTGCTTCTCCCTCTGCCTAGGTCTCTGCCTCTCTCTTTCTGTGTCTCATGGATAAAAAAATAAAATCTTAAAAAAAAAAAAAAAAAAGGACTTGGAGGAGCAGAGGGCTAGGAGGATAGGGTGGCAGGGGGGAGCCTGAAAGTTATTTCCTAAGATGCTTAGGAAATCTCCCTTTTAAAAAAGGGTGCTTTAAAAAAAGGGGGGGTTGCTTTTTGAAAGATAAAACCTTGAACTTGCTATCTCGCCACCTGGTGGGCAAAAATCTGAAACTGTTAAACGCCAACTTGGTAGAGAAGCAAGGAGAATAACTTGCACTATTGGAGAAGACCTTCTTTGCTTATTTGATGTATCATAACCATATTTCTGGTTCTGGTCAGGTATTTTGTTTTGGCTCTTGAGCACAAGATGAGCCACCGTTACTGATAGAGAAAGAGAGGAGTCTAATTATTGGAAAGAGTATGCTGTGGTGGTAGAGAAACAAACCAAGCAAGCTGTGTCCTCTTTTTCTCCTGGATAAACTCAGCATGAATATTACAAGTGGTAGAGGAAGTTGAAGAGCTGTTTTGCAATTGACATCAGACAAAAAGAGTTCTTTTGAAATATTCACCTAGAATTTAACCTTGGGCCAGAATACTAAAAGTGCTTCATTTGAATAACATTTATGCCAAAGGATTTACATCATTTTAAAATTTCTCTGTGTCTCAAGCCAGTTTCTATCTAGTGTCCCAAAGTACTGTGGCAAAACTAAATTGAGAAACACTGTTTTTTGCTATTACATTGACATTTTTCCCAAGTGATATGAGCTGTGTCTTATTTTTTTTCATCCCCCCCCCCCTTTTTTCCCTCTTTAATGCCTGTACTTACTTTATCCAAGAGGGGTTCTCAGGTAGGAAGCACAAACTCCGGTATCTCCTGGGGACGGGGAAGGTAAATACAGGAGTGAGGTGGACTTTGGGTAACTGTGGACCAGCGACCACACCCATCTAAAGGGGCAGGTGACACACAGCTTCAGCAGATCTTGGCCATATGGAAACGTGAGCCCATTGCTGCCAAATCTTCCTTTTCTCTTCTTTTTTTAAGAGAAACTCAAAATCTGGATGTTTTTAATGTGATTTTTTTCATCTTTTTAAAATGTTGGCTCACACATTAAAATAAAATCCTGTATGATCCAAGCAAAACACCTCTGAATTGGATTTGAGACTCAAGCCCCAGTTTTTGACTTAAACTTTACACAGGCTGTCTCTTGGTTAAGTGCCTAGAATTGATGCATTTTAGTAGATTGTTATTTAATAAGACCATGAACTAAAGAAAATAATAAATTAAAATCTTTCAGACTCATTGGTCAGAGGGATCTGACAAATTCTCTTAAATCATTTGAAGTTATTTTGAGTTAGCATTTGATTTAGTATTAGTATGTATACCCAAAGAAGCTATTACTCTTGCTTTTGGCAGCTGTCTGATTCCCTGCCTCAGTCAACACTGCTCCTTGAGATTTATTTAGAAGTTAGTCATCTTTATTCTTCATTTTGATGCTGCAGTTTACTCTTCTTGAAAAAGAGATTTTGATGGGTAGGAAAAGGAAACTCCCTTTGCAATGTAATTTTTGAGTTTCTGACTTTCTCATACCCACTTTAAAGTTTAGGGTTTATAATAGGTCAGTTTAAAGCGGAATGTTCCACTTAAGAAACTAAAACAGCAAGTAGGATTTTTCTGTATAAGATTAGAAATCTAGTTACAATTAAGGATAAAAAACAGGATATTGTTGTAACCCTTTTGCCAGCATTAAGGAAATATGCACTGATATATTCTTGGCTGAAATGTTGCGGCAGTTTTCAGTAGTCAGAGCCTAAAACGTGGGTTCATACCTTATAGAAGACATAAAAAAAGACATAGTTGAAGTCCCTCTGCTCTGATGCTCCGTGGGCATTTATAGAGGAATTTATCAGGTCTAACTATATGGTAGGGAAAAAATTAAAGCTATGGGCTTGGAGATCAAACAGACCAGTGTTTAAATTTCATATCTGCTTCTTAGTAGCTGTAGTGCTGTAACAATCTGTTTCTTCTAGGCTCTCTTTCCTCATTTATAAAATAAGAATATCAGCAACTCTGCAGAATTGCTGTGAGGACTAAATTAGCAGGAGAGTCCTTAAAACAGCACCAGACACATAGTAGGTGCTCCATAAACACCAGCATCCGTTTCTCCTTTAATGATACACTTGACTCACATAACCCCTTTTCAGTAATCAGCACACATCTGCCTTCCACAGCCTAATTTATCTTTAGATGCCACCTTTCTGATGAAAGCATGGTAGTATAAGAGAAGGAAAACCATTTTTTCTAATCCCGCTCTCGCCTGCTGTTAGCATTGTCATCCAGATACTGGAACTCAATCTCCTTTTTTGTAAAACAAGGGAATTGAATTAAAATATCTGAGTTCACTTGGGTTACAATTTTTAAAAATGTCGAAGGGAGAGGCTCCTTCAGCCAGCATTCATAGAATGGCAGTACT